AACATACGTACCAGCAAGACGACGAAGCAGATACTGCAGTATCATTGGGGTAGCATCCGGTTTGCGGTAAATCTGCGCGATTTCTTTATTCAGCGGATTGCCTTCGAGCTCTAGGACAAAAAATAAGCGGTTTGACAGAGCCAAATTTATACGATCAAACAAAACAGACATCAATAATAAAAATGTAACAAATAAATGCTGTTATTTTTATCACCAAAAACAACAGGAACATTTTGAAGTGTTTTAATATTGGCCAGTCTTACGTTAAACACCATCTGCAGCATCCGTCTACCCGCGAAATTTACAATTGCTAATCTTGTGCCCCATCGACCAGAATGGCTTATTTTAAGGGCAACGTTTACGGTTATATGGCAAGTCTAACGTAGAACCTCCTGTTTGTTTTCCCATAAACGGGTGTTGATATTTCGATTGTGAGCTCAACGTTCTCCAACTGAACAACGCCTGCCACGCTTCACCTAAAGCCAAGTCTACATATAAACAAAGCACCAAGTCCATAATTAAAGATGCGCGAATTTGTGAAGCATGAAACATACATGAAACGTCTTCCCCACAGACCACATCTGGTGCCGCTGATTCCTGAAATCAAGCTCATATTCCCTTTGCTAAAGGAAATAATGCTTACGTTCGAAACTCTAGTGACAAGGATATTCTATCACGGAAATAAACATAGTTCGATTCATCATCATTCGTGTATGGTCAGCAGCGAACCGCTGTGTTAAGGAACCGTGACCGCCGGCGACAGCGGTGTTGAACTCTTTCACAATTAGTGGGCCAACTGAAGTAAATCTTTTCGCTCATGTATTTTGTGGACCGCATCTGAATTGTGATATGAAGGCAAATAATACACGACTAGCGAAAACTTTTACTAATTCCGCGAAAACAATTTTGGAAGTTGGGCACATGGCCACACAAGCGGTTCTGTGAAGGCAGACTATGTCAATAATGGAGGGTAATTTAGTCGGTTCGGTGACAGTATTTTGGGAAGAAAAAAACACATATATGTCATCCTGATGTTGACTGTGACTTCTCACACAGAAAAGTAAGGCTGGAAATGCACTTTTAGCACAGTCCATCAAGCATCAAATATTTCATTAAAGTCAGGGACAGAACTAAAGATATCTTAAAAGCACATCGACGTTTCGAACATCATCGATATAATATATATTCAGGCCAGGATCAAAAATTTCCGTTAAAAAATCTTTCGTGGTACTACGCAACTGGACATAATTTTCGTTGTAATGGCGAACTTATCGGCATCAAATGATCATGAGCAAGAGACGTTTAGGTATCTCTAAGCACCATTTAAAAATATAGGCAGTCAAGGCGTAGAAACACACACAAATATCGACCACGTGAGTGCAGCACTGCGAATCAGTGATAATGAATAAAAAGAAACGGGTAGCGTAGAGCAACCTGCATACGAATCTAACCCTACCCATGGTCATAAGTGAGGGATACCATGACCTAAGAAACAAGCGGCAAAAACTACGTTCCTTTTAAGGGCTACTGCATAAGGAGGAGAACGCAGCAGTCTGGGATATCTGAATGGTAGGTTGTTGTGCCATGGTCATCTGGTGCTAACAGATCTTAACAGGAGAGTAGCCCAGATTTATTATGACTGACCGTTAGAAACGGTATCTTACACTGATATTAGGCAAACTTCGCCCTGCGCCTAAGTTGAATCCCTCTTCGCCAGTAGATCTGCTTCGTTATCTGAACAAGGTGTTGCCATGTTTGGTTTTTCAAGCTCCGTGTCTGAGGCAAATGAACGGTTCCCAAAGTTTTGAAAGCTTTTCCATTTTCTTTTTATGCCGTTTTATCAAATCGAGCCAAGCGCCGGACTTTATATGATAATTATCTCAGATCGTTGGTCGTCAGCACCTACTCACTTGCCACCTAGTGATACCATTGCATTTGGATGGTACTTCACATATAGCATTGATGGAGGTTATCTTGTCGAACTTAATGTCGCTACGGTGAGGAGAGATTCTGAAATGGCAAATAAGAACCGCGAATACGGCTACTTGCAAAACGGCTATCTTTCTGTCCGCTCTCAAAAACCACTCTTTCTATATGGCATCCGTATTGTCAGAATTCGGTGCTAAAAGTCCAACAGGTCGGCAAATTTCAGGATAATTG